GGTACTCTTTTGGGGGTTGTTACTTTTGGAAGTTTACCGTATTGTTAAGTTAATATCTCTGCCAATCAAGATCACAATCATATCTAAACACCATCACAGTCATGAACCTGATGAATTATTAAATAAATGCCTTTGAGAATATTGAGAATGCTTCTCAATTAAATAAATTGAAGGCAAAGGCAGACCAACTTTTAATAAATGGCCTCCCCTCCCCTTTTTGTATGTAAAAGAATCACATATCATAGTAAAATACACTCATGTACATATATGTCAAGTTCATCCCCTCCCCCTCCCCCAAGTGCAGTTAGTAACCATACCTTCAGATGGCTTTAGAAGCTTCATGTACTCAGACCTGCATCTCTCTGGTGTAGGTTTCAAGTGAGCATACCCTTTGGGTCCTGATGGACTTCCAACTCTGGCATAACCTGGCTCATTGATCTCTGCTCCACCACCCCATGGGGCAAACGCGATAGCTGTGTCATCTTCTGGGTTATACAGTGAATTATCTGATTGTGATATTAAAGGAAGAGAACAAATCACTTTATGGCAGAGAGGGTGGGAAAGAAAAAAAAAATTGGTTTGTGACCCATTACATTTGATAAAACACATCCTGGGACTGGAACCCAAAAAGCTTTGAGATGCCTTCAGAAATCTTCTGAATGTTCTTGGAATTTCCAGATGTCTTTACATTATTATGATCAACATTCCTTAATAAATCCAAGGATAAAAACAGGATGCCTGTGATTCAGAAAAAGTTGGCAGGTATAACCCATAGCAGGCAAGAAATCCCTACATCAGCACTTTCCTGTTACTTAAGTACTGTAGCTATTATTTTGGTTTATCCTTAAGTTAAATGTCCATACTTGACCCTGAAGGCTACTGACAATTACAGACAATAATTCAAGATTTTACTAATCTGTGAATGTGATTCTTACCTAGCTTTAATCGGCTCTTTTTTCGTCTCTTGTGACTCCTGAAGAAAATGTGAAATCAAAATCAAGTATTGTCAATATCACTACCCAAACTCCAATACAATAGACTGGAATATTAAATGAACTGGATTTCTGAATAGAAGCACTCTAAAGTAAAATGGTTGTAAAATTCTGTTACATTCTTAATTCCTCACTGAAAAATTATTTTTTCCAAAAATTCGAACCACTGTTCAGAAAATAAAAAAAAAATCATCAAATACACTCTAAATCAGTCTCACCTTCGCTTCATTCTCCAACATAGCCAGATAATGATAGTAACACAAAGGGTGGCAATAACTGCACCTCCTGCGACAACTGCAATAAGCCAGATGGGGAG